CTCGGCGCAAAAAAAAACAACGAAATAAACGACGACGTGAGCCGTCGACGTCGGTGGCAGCAACTTCTCGTCGCAAGTCCAGCAGACCTTGTTAACGGCGTACGGATCGTCGAAGGCAACGCCGTCCACGCACAGCTTGTCTCGATAGCGCTGCCCTTCAGGCTCGGGTATAGAAAGCTCAAATAGTCGGGCATAATGTACGACATACGTTGGCAGGAAATACGACGCACAAAATAAAGCTCGAAGCGTCTCCACAACGTCAACAACGAGCGCACGCCACAGAACGCAAGAGCGAAAACACGGAGAGCCTGACCGCTCCTGCCCATGCAGCTTATGCGCATGCGCGGTCTTCCGGCCGTGTTGGTAAACAGAGCCGCGCCACGTGTCGATCTAAAACGCTGCAAAATATTTGTTTTTCTTCTTTTTTTGATGTGCTAGAATTTGTGTGTATTTAAACGCAAGCCTACCATACAGATGGAAGAACAAATATACTGGGTCGGTCATCCTGTTACCTCCTCTCCTCAATGGGCTTCTTTTAAGATTCTCCGCGAGCCGGGAAGGTCGTGATGCACTCTGGAATGGCTAGGTGGCGTAAGCTACCGCCCGATCCAAAGGGCTCAGCCGGATTCATCCATCCATCCAGGAAACCATGGGGCGCCAGAAAGGTACGCGACCCGAGGCCGGCCACAACTCCTCCCACTCAACACAAAGTCAAGCAGCGATGAGATTGACCCGAGTCATTTTGTATGTAGCACCTTTTGGAGAAAAGTCCATTACGGAGAGCAGCAAAACGTACTTTTCGCAGCACAAGCCCACACTTCATTTTTTTATTATTATTCGTACCACCGCGAATGTTACATGTTAAGATACTTGTGTTGGCATATATCCAACTACAAGACGTGCGCATGCTTTGCCTTCGCACTTCCGTGCAAACGGCAGGCGTGATTTTCCCCCGATACAGAACTAGCTCTTTAGTCGCACATATAAAAGCGCTAGATGTGGCAACGAGATGCTGGTCGCCGAACGACAGTGTATAAGACTGCTGCGAGTGGTCAGTGTAAGTACAAAATAAAACTTGAACCAAATAGCATATTCCACTAAAATAATGTTAGAATAGTCTTCAGCGCACAGATCGATGTTTCATTCGAGTTCTCCAGGGGCCCTCAACTCGTCAAACACAAAGTTGGCGCTCCGTCAACTTCGGCCCCAACTTTGTGTATGACGAGTTTAGGGCCCCAGGATGTAAAAAAAATCAAATTCCTTATTCAAACTAAAAAAAAAAAAAAAAGTTTGTAGTTAAATTATGAAAATCAATGTCATTTTGTGTGTAGAACCTCATAATTACAGAAATCAGCAAGTCAACGATAAGTATGCCTTCTTAAAACAATCCAGCCAAAGTCGTTAAGGTTATTCCCAAGCTACCTCTGATGCTTCATCTAATTTTGTTTTAATTTATTATATTGGCTGAACCTCAAACGCATAAAACCTACATAAAGGTGACAAGTAAACAACGGGGATGAAATAAAAATAAATCTATAGAACAGTTGATATATATTTTCTTGCGGGTACCCTCGCTAAATCCAAAATTTTAAAAGGTATATCACCAGAATAGTGCAGCCTATCGTAACTAATAGCTGCAGCGTCATTCAGAATTTTTTTTTGCTGCAACTAAGAACTGTTACATTAACAGTTGTTTTTTTTTTTTTTAATATACCAGACGCTTGCGTGTTTAACATACCTCCCTGGGGGAATGCTTTCCCCTTAGCACTCTGATGCACTGCGGCGAAGCAAAAAAAGCAGAAATTCGAATTTGCCATGCTTACTTTGCAGTTGCCACTTCACTGCAATACACAAAAAGAAGCGCACTTTGTAAATTAGCCAGACCAGACCAATCTTATGAACATAAGGAATACAGCAAAAATTCCGGGTACTGTCAGAGTTCGACACTGACAGCGAGATCAAATAAGATAGTGTGTTACTTGCGGCTAAAATCGAAAGTTGTGAAAATAGTGAAATAAAGTTTTGGCGCAATGTTGGCGCAAGTTCCTCACATTTGGGCTAGCTGTAGCAAGATAGCACACCCTGCTACATTTGCCTTTGGTGCAAATTGCGCACATAGCAATCACATCACAGTTTTTGACAGGTCCTTAGGGCATCTGGAGGTTCGTGTTTCAACGGGGCTGTCAAGATGGGTACACTGCAAGCGAGTGCCGACTTAATTTTAATGCAGTGCCGGGGTGCACTACTTCGTCAACGGGGTAATAGAAGTTGAAACTATTCAACTCTTCTCCATGGCCAAAGGAGGTTCCATGATGCAACGTGCGCAGTGTTGCGCACGTAGCAATTTTTTAGGAGTAGTCTGTCAACATATTTATTAACCACCATCAAAACAAACAAAAAAGAGAAAAAAGTTGAAATACGACGTTTGAACTGTCATATTTCCAGAGGCTTGTAAGAAGACTGACCTTTTACTCTAGATTAATTTCATGACACCTAAAAAATATAAAAATATAAGTAGAATCACCTTACATATTATTCCACACCAATCGTCAACTGAAAGCTAGGACCCTTCATAGAAGCACATCTAGGTACCTTCAATGCCTCCAACTTGCGCCAAATTGATTGGAACCGCCTTTCCTCAGCATAATTACTAGAACCACCGATTTTAGAATTGCCATTACTAATTTGTTGAATCGTGTTTCGTACTAATTTTGTTTTGTTTTTCTTTTCATTGTTTTTACTTATATTTATGTTGTAATTGCCTTTGGGCCCTCAGACAACATAAACGAAACAAATCTACTATTACTTTCTGCCTGACTTGCCAGATGACAAAGCGTGTGGATTCCTCGTTCACTGCAATTCAAACTAATGGGTTTCATCTTTCTTCTTTTGCGAGCTTTACGCTTTGATACTTTGATTTTGCAACGTTTTAATTGTCCGGCCCTTTGACTTTACGGGTTTTCATTTCTTGGTGTTTCCATGTTCGGCATTTACAGCATTCAACGTTTTGCTTCGAACCCTTTCGGGAATCAACCGACTATCAAAACCTAAACCACGAATGAACTACTGAACTAGCGAGTAAGGACCCCTGGTGAAAAAAACGTCACTGCACGAGAAAGTTATATTAGACATCTTTCCAGATCTTGTCGTGTTGAACAAAGACAAGAGTCGCGGAGAGAGAGTCGTCTGCTTCTTGCCGCAGGGGTTGCGGGGACGACAGGACAACGCCGAGCTCCAGCTTTGATCGAAAGGATAGTGGGTAGACGTTAATGTCAAGTGCCTTAAAATATAACCACTATTTTTTTTTTAATCAGGTAATATGAGTTTATGCGTTTTGACACCAACGCAACCCCTGTACAAGAAGCAGACGAACTTGCGCCGAAACTACGTTCAAACGCTGACGTGGAACAGGGAAGACGACAGTGTTCGACGAAAACCTCGGCATTTCTTCCAGCTGAGAATCGTGGATAGTGCACGAACCAAAAGGAGACATCCCTAACGTAAAACACACGCAAAAAGAAAAAAAAATTCAACGTTATTTTTTTTTTTTTGTTTGTTTTCTTCTATTAAATGATAGCAGCGAGCGTTCACGAGCATTGCACGTGATACACAAACCCGGGAGGCAAGGGGGGAACGGCGATGGGAGCTACGATGGCTACGAAGGCTTCAGGCTATTTCAGTTTTAACAACGCTCCTGAGAAAACAGGTTATCTATTCTCTCCGCTCGGAATTCCGTATCCCGTTTTGCCGCTTTTATTTCTTGCACGCTTTTTCTTCCTTTCTTTTTTTTCCTCCACTTTCCAGCTCCCCCGTCGAGTAGTTTTGTTATGCGATCGAATCCGGCTGAATGACGGGAACGAACACGCCAAACGTCAAAAGGCGTTCGACTACGCGTGGGAAGTTCGCAGGATTCGCCGCCGGTTTCATCCTACCCCCCCCCCCCCCCCCCCCCCCACCCTTTTTCACTCAAAAAGGCCGGCACGTCAAACAAAGTACAAAAAAAAAAAGGAGCACAACGAACGTCAGCTTCAACGAAAACACGCACGTTCAACAAACGGTAAACAACAACTCGTGGCGTGCCAACTACAAGCTACCGTTCGTGTCATAACCTGCGCTAAACGTCCGCATCATCGTGATACAAGTCGGAGAAAGAAAAGGAAACAAACAGAACGCGGGGTTGTGTATTTCGTCGACCCTGAACGCGCACGCCAGTTGAGACCGATCATAATAAACAAGCCGACGCCGCCAATGCGCCACCAAACGTGGCCTAGCTTGTTTAGGCCTAGCACAACCTCGGCACCGCCGACCGACCGACCGCGCGCGCGCGCGACAGCTACGGGCGTCTTTTTGCCGAGAAACGTTTATTGTTTAGACGAAGATCAGCACACGCGGCGGCGACAGAGAGACGCCAAGTTGACATGCATCAGCCCCCTCATCCCCTCCCCCCCTTCACTCTCGCAATGGTAGGTTCCGTACTCCACGCCACGAGCTCAGCCGGCTCGGCGTTCTTTTTCCGAATGCGAGCAACAAAAAAACATCTTTCTTTCCGTTCAGCCCCAGATTGCTCCGGCGACGCGACGTGCACCGCATCGCCCACTCCACGCATGGCCGTTGATACAAGGCGGCATAAATAGAAATAAGGACGAAAAAGAACACACAAACACCACAAGGAGATGGTATCGCGGACGCGAGTAGCCCCACGGCGAGCACAACAATCCAGAGTCGAGTTCGTTCCTTGGAATGCGGCGGTCATCGGAGACGCGATCCGGCGTCGGCGTGACAGTTCGCTCGGAGGGTTATTTAACCCCAAAGCCGCCTGGCGTTAGAACACGGTCGCACGCTGCGAAGGCGCCGATCCGCCCGCGAAAACAACCACGCGGAAACGCGGACCCAAAAGGCGGATTTCGGCTCTGATTCCGACCGTAAACAACAAGGGGAGCCCGAGCGGGACCCGATCAGGGACCCCCGAAGCGTAGTAGCGGCGTTTCTTTCGGTGTTTTTTTGTTTGTTGTGTGTTCGGGGCACGAGCGAGAAACGGAGACAGGCTAACCCTCGCAAGCGGTCTCCCGTCTGGCCGAACCGCCAGACCGTCTCACCTGTTTCGACTGGCAGCAGCGGATCAGAAGCCTCGAAGGTGGTCGTAAACGGGGAAGAGCCCTAGACGCTCGAGCGACACAGACGTGGCAAGCATGGGCAACCGTCGAACGGTCGGTGCCGTGACGCGCTGCTGTAGCTCACACCAGCACACACCACAACACACACCAACAGTAGTAGGTCATGAAGGGGCTCCGGTAATAATCCAGCAGAAGGGCGCATATTCCGACGGGAGGACCTCTTCTACGGCTCGAACTTTGGGAGACGCCGCGTTCGTGCCACTTTATCAATCATTTCCGTACATAGCCGCTTAGACCAAACAACAGTACTCGTTGATTGGCCAGCAAAACAGAGGTAGAGTCCAAGTATCACGAGTGGAAGGGGGGGTGGGGGGGAGGAGAGGCGACCGCGTAGGGTCCCGCAAGGATGTAAACAACTGCCGCCGTTGCCAGACGACCGGTGAGCCGCGCCGACGTGAACAGAGAAATCAATTCCGAAACTAGCGTAGTACGCGCGCCACACCCCTACTAACCGGCGGAACATTTGTATCCTTTCAGGTTAAAAACGAACCTTTCGTAACTTCTTTTTAAACGGTTCAAAATAACTACGTTGAGACAGGTAAAAGGTTAAGACGTTAGGACGACTTGAAACTTTTCAGGAGGCGGACATGGCGGAGACTTGGGCCGTAGCCTCTTGGGCGATCTTCGATATCTGAGTTGTTTTTTTACAAGTTTTGACGAGGCAAATGCGTGTGTACGGGCCGTACGCCTTTATTTAACACAAACATCGAATAAAACGATATCTATCTACCCTTTATAGTGCTGAGCTAGTTGCCAAATGTTCTTTTTAGGTACTGTCCACTGTCGGTAATGAGCTTGCTGGGGTCTTCATCGCGCGGTAAGTGAGGAGTTTATGCCTTACACCGTGCTTGCTAACGTTTACCAACTACCCCAATTGTAATATTTGCTAAAATATACTTCTTCAGAACAAGTTGCTTCGAGACGTGGGCAGCGTGGTACGGAATCTCGCAGTGCTAGTCCACCGAAGGACCTGCGCCACCCGTGCCACCCCCACTCACGGACAAGAAGTGTAGGTAAGGAAGATGTCTTCGCAGGTTTCAAGCCCGTGTTATTTCACGTGAGACTGATCTCTATTACGTAAATGCATGACTCGCATTCACATAATATCAGCGGCCATTGTTGTGGTCTTGTAACACGCATTTTGCACCACTAACTTTGTGGTGCAGAGACGTCACTTGCAAGTCATGCACAGTTAAATTTCTTGAATTAAATTTGCAAAAGGCATATTGTGAAACCTTCTCAAGTGATGTTGGAGGTATAGATTTAAGCACCAACCTATAGCATCTCATTTTCCCGCTTTCAACACCTGTTTAGCTTGGAGATCTTTAGTTTAACATCTCTTGAAGTTGGACAGCCCTGCAGGTGAACACCAGAGGTTCCTAAGCTAAAGAACTTTCACTGCATGTTTATATAATTGCTGACAGAGGCTCTAGACCCTGTGAAAAATATATGATTTCCTGTTCAAACATCATCAAGGGTATAGCCCTTGAGCACATGGTTAGGAGGCGCCGCAGTCGAGCGACAGTCAGCATCTCTAGTGGCAAAGAAGTGTATCGATGGTCAGTCACTGGCACATCGCCTTCTTCTCACGGGCGCTTGCTTATTTGACTGCAGACATTCCTGCATATATTGAAAACGTAGTGACGGTTTGTCTGAGGTAGAACTGAGCTGTTGCTTTGGTATTATGGACATAATAGGGTGTTTTCACTGACAAAATTTCGTCCACCATTTTGTTGTTGTGAGCTATCTGGCGTGTGTCAAACTTGAGCATTCCAAGAGTTTACATGACCCCTCCAATTCGTAGAGCAGCTTATGTCTTACCACGCTGACATCATCTCAACCGGTTGCAATGTAATCCTTCAAAGTAGTAAATTTGTTTGGAAAAACAAACTAACAACAAAATTACGGATTGACGTCATGTGCAAACAACCTAGGCTCTCCAAGCATTTCCTGGATAGTCAACTAAATGAACTCTGATGCAGAAAGGCACTCGTGGAATAATGTATTAGGTTGACTTCTGTCTCGGGGTGTTAATCATTGGGATTAAAATTCACTAAATCATGTCTACATTTTTTTTCGTTTTTCTTTTTCGATTTGTATACAGAATGTTTTATTTTGCGCAACTCGGGAAGTGTGTTTGAGGTTTGATTAATTTTATTCACGTTATTATTTTATTTTTGGCGAACACTTGCAAGAAGCTTGTTTTATTTTTAGTTATTGTCTTTATATTCATAATAAAAACTGCATTAACACTCCAGAATAGTTCGACGGCTTCAAACTTTGCGAATTTGCCAGTATGTCGTATTTAATATCTTACGTAAATAAATGTACTGATCTAGAATAAACTGGTCAATATTTTCTATCTGAATAACATATATGCGTTACCAAGTTTTCTGGGATTTTTTTCGATTTAGAAGGCCTCAGTCACCGCGATAAATGGCTGGTTTAAAATATGTAAGCGCTGATTTGTTTCAGCAGTTGAAATTTTTTGACTGCCAAGTTGGCGCATTGTAATGTGAACTGAAAATTAAAGTCATTGTTGCAAGAGAGATAAGATGGTGTACACCCTTTTGCCTTAACGGAGCATGAGGCCACAGAAGAAGAGTTGGCTGTGTATATTTAAAAAATGACCGCATCTCCACGTGGTGAATGATGTTGATTGGGGCGAAGCTCTGGTGGTGCTGATGATACTGATTTTGTTCATAGGTATAGTGCTGATGGCGTTGCTTTTTTTTTTATTGCTCAGAGGTAGTACTGAGTTCCGGGTTGCGTCTGCGTGGACGCTGAGCCGCGGCATGCCGAGCTTTTCGTTCGTTTTCATTCATGTCAGAAAGAGAATGTGTGGTATGAAACGTGGTTATATACGCATTTGACCGCAGCGCCCTCTCCTGTATAGACGTTGAGCGGCTACATGCAACGTTTCATCCATGACAGAAACACTAGCTCTTGAGTTACTGTCACATCTTAGAGCCTCCTACTCGTCCCGCAGTCGTGGCCAAGTGGTTAAGGCGATGGATTAGAAATCTCTTGGGGTCTCCCCGCACAGGTTCGAATCCTGTCAACTGCACAAACCTTTTTTCTTTTTTTAAGAAGATAGATGGGATGGCAATCGATGTGAGCACGGACGCCGGACGGACAAGGCTAGACCTTAAAGGGATACTTCAACGAAATTTGAAATATTCCCGTCGTGTTCAAAAATAGGTTGAATATGATCCACAATATTCGTAAATGACAATCGCACGTTTGTATTTTGATCCTGGTGGCTGTATTTTTCGTTATAAACGGCCCACTCTGGCAAGCGCTCGGAGAAGGCCCAGCTTAGAGCACGTGACATCCAACGCAATCATAACGTAGGTCGTCTCAAGACGAGCAAAGCTACGGCGAGGCTGACGTCGAGAGGATGGCCTAGTCGTTCCAGCCACCGAAGCGGCTGCTTTTGTACGAATTTTGAGTGACGGGTTAATCTTCTATAATCTTCTAGGGGGACAATAGCGACTTCTGCGACACACAAAGGCATTCTTGGGAAGAGGTGAGTTCCTCCTTCCCCCCTTCTCTCGTCGTGGCCGGAGACGAGACAACCTCCGTCACTAGCTGTCAAGGTTCCTAGACGAGCATTACAAACGAGGCGTTAGCGACATCCACCAGGTGCTCTTTGCTAATCGTTTAATTCGTTTTAAAATTCCTTTTCGAGACTTTTTTTAACAAGATATTGGTATGTTCCATGTGATACTGCTTTTTTGAACACATATAGACCAAAAAAATGAGCGCCGAAATTTCATTGTAGTATCCCTTTAAGGAGCTTCGCCCCTAGAAGCCTGTTATTAATGATCAAAATATATACAGATGTATTGTTTTTAAAAGAAGTGTTGTATAGATGTTTGGCGGTACTTGAGCTACATATTTTACACACCACTTGGATAAATATGCGTGCTATACTGTGACAGTGTCTCGGCTTCAAATTAGATTAAGTAAAGCACTTCAAATTTTTTACAAATTGATAGTCAGTATTGGTCAAACAACAAATAGTAACTCGGCCAATCTGCAGTTAGCACTCTGGAACTCTTCACCCAACAACAATATCAAGTGCCACAAAGACAGTGTATCAGAGTCAGAACACTATTTTGGTATCTTGAAAAAATAAAGGCAAAAATGCTTAATCATTTCTTCCGCCAGTCGCACGTCAGAATGTTCTGGCGTGCGGTTGGTGTTCTCATTAAAAAAAGCACTGTCGCAAATGCAGTTTTGATGGTTTTTACTGAGTGCTACAACAAAACAAATTAATCATTGAAACACAATATCGCTAGAGCTCGGGATATAGATAAAATAAGTACGAAATGCAGCATTATATCTCCAAGCATCACTTACCACGAGTCCCTCTTCCCATGTCCGGAAAGCAAAGACCTCGTGCTTGTTGTCTTTGGTGTTTTACATGTTAGGGTGAGACACAATATAGTTTCAATCAGAGGCTTGAAAAAAAAAAAAGACAAAAGGTATTTGTTTGTTTGTGCTGTCGTGCACTATACCAATACGAGTACAGCATCTTCAATGGCACACATGATGAAAGGGACTTCCCATCGTTGTGGGAGTTGTGCACCAGGTGGCTCGACCTGTCAAGGCTAACTCCATTGCACGGTCTCTATTGAGGCTGTGCCAAAAAGTAGAGTCCGGCGTAACTCTACTTTAAAGTTTCACGGGAGTTCGTGACAACTTTACAAACCGAAACTTGGAGCAAAAGACTAAGAAAAGACAGAGAAGGGGGCTACATAAAAGGTTCATTTAATGACTGAAAAAAATAGATTGAGCACACCTGTGGGCAGATCGACCAGTCTGTAGCAAATCCACACATTTGTAGCGTGAAAGGAAGATAAACATGACATGTATTTTATGTCCATAAACCCAAAGGTCTGCGGGACTGCCAGAGCTCTTCGGGGAGCTCTTCCGAGGCCGTAAGCGTCCAACAGGGCCCGAGCCGGCTGTCCAGAAAGTCGTCATCTTGTCGTTCACTTCCATCCCCATCAGACTCTAAAACCTCAGGTAGGCCAAGTTTATGTTGAATGCCGAAGTTCGAGCTCGAGCTTTTAGACGCAAGTAAAGCGCCGTTGACACATATGTAACCGAGTAAGACCGAGAGAGACCAGACCAGTTTTTAAGCCTTTTGCGACGTCTTAGGACCGGATGCGCTGCAGCGGAGCTGGTCCTAAGACGTCGCAAGATGCTTAAAAACCGGTCTGGTCTCTTTCGGTCTTACTCGGTAGCATATCTGTGAATGGCGCTTTAATTGCGGCTGCTTTTCTTCCGAATGGTAGCTTTTTTTTTTTTAATGGCATATTTTTTAAAGCAGATTCCCCGGAGTGCTTTTGGGGGTTCCCTCAAGCACCCCAAATTATATCTTTGTCGTCTACCTCTAAATAATGCGCTTTGCTGGTTTCAGGCGACCACGAAACAATGTTCTTACTTTCACTTAATGCTGCTCCGAAGAACCCCTCAATATTTATAACCCACAAAACGGCAGTGACTGTCCTCTCCACGCACCAGCAGTGGCAGAAAGAAATGTAGGAAAAACTAGAAGCCACAGCTTCATCTCACAGCCAGAATGAGTGACTGCATGACCCAATGCCGATCGTATGTCACCCATGTTCTAGCTATGCGCTGGGATCGCCTGTTCACGTCACTGCAGGGATTGGACACGGTCCCCAACCCAAACATTTGTCTAGGAATGGATTGTCTCGAGCTGAAGCCAAGTACTGAATGCAGCTGTGCCAATCTTCAGTCCAACAGCTGCATTTGACTATTGTCTCTCTGGGGTGATGCCCGCGACAAATCATGATCTCTACAACTTTCCCAACTGGCTTTGGGAAAGACTGTTTTAGTGTCAATGCTGTGGCCACCCTTGAAAGGGGCAGACTCAAACAAATGATCCACTTCTAGACTTCAAATTATGCTGTAACAAAGGAGCTTCCGGCTTGTCGCAAGTATGCTTGTGTCCCACTCACTCGTGCTCATGTAAGTCGTATTGCACTCAAACCCAGTATGGTTTCGGGGCCACTTTAAACAAAATTTAAGCTTGTCTGGTAAATCGCACGTAGAGGATGAAAGCACTGAAAAATCAACGGATGGGTGAAAGGATGACGAACGTCGCAGAGCATACTGCTGTGCGGCGTTCGTGGTCGCACATATGTGAGCCAAAAATGTGTTATTGCTAACAAAACCGGTAGGCTACTGAACAATTGTAATGCAAGGTTTCCACAAGGCGGGAAGAGTGTCTTGGATGTCATTTAGCGCATGTTGGGGTTCTGGAAGTGGGAGATCCCGTGTGCTATGCGCAACAAAACTTTTGCAATTGTAGGTGCCTGTCTTCAAAAGGAGTTATTGCCGTGGAGGTCACCTCAGGAGAAGGCCAAATCCCCCACTGTACTCGTTCTCAACAGGTTCGTGGAGAAATTGTTTCTGTTTAACCCTTTGACGGTCGAGTTTTTTTTTTTTCCCAAGAGATGTTTCCCAGTGGTCCGGTTTTATTTCCAAAGGAATAGTATAAAGAAAGGGGTCATTGCGCAGGTTTTTTCTCAATTATCTGGAGGGAGCGCGTACAGTGCTTTCAAGCTGTTTAGGTTTAAAAGTATCAAATAAAAATATTGAAGGCAAAAAGTTGTCATCTTTCATCCACTTGATCTCATTTTGGCGCATTCACTTCCTCGACATTCTAGCGGTTGCAGATACCTAACCGGAAGTACTGTATGAAACTTCTCCGTACATCCTCTAAATTTAATTCCTTTGGTTCCGATTCGGACTTTGGAAGTCCGAATCGGAAGGACCAGTGCTCCCATTGGCAATACCGCCAGAGCGGTGTCGGCATGCAAAGTTGGCATCAGTGAATGGAGCATCGAATTTAAAAAGCTATAAATAACCCTGCGATGCAAAGCAATGCACAGCTCACCAAAGACTCAACGAATTGCAAGACCTCTCACGGTGCATACAGTTTCGTATTTGGACGGTCACTTTCAAATGTATAATCACCGTACGTGCACTGCAACGACCGCCAAAGGGAATGAAATAATTTAGCGTGTACGCGCCCATCGTAAGTTGGAAATCGGCTGTTGAACATTCTTGAGATATCATTCTGGATTAAGGCACCGTTAAAACCTATCAATCTTTGTCCACAGGTATTGTGACATGGTAAATGAAACAGATAGTTTGTTGCAGCCCTCATATGTCCTATCAGAGATTAAACTAAACTTGGGGATGGGGGAAAGTTGGCCTGTTGGATTCCATGCTCTACAAGTGATTGCCTCGAAACTAGTCATTCTACTATCTGCTTCGGACATGAAGGTGTTCTGTCGTTATAAAATTCTTGATGACTGCTTTGCAGACACATTATAACGTATGGTGGGACAATTTCTCGGTCCCTTGTAATTGAGGTGCTTCACTGAGTGCATTAGAATTTTTCAAATATGACGCAAGAGAGTTGTGGATGTAAGCTGAGAGATTGTGTGCTTTAGGAAATAGGAATACTAATATATATAGTATATTTTTTTGCGAGAATTACTGTTATTGAACAAGAAAATGCGATGCCATGGTCGGCGACAGGTGAAGAGCTCAGGGGAAGCTCCTCTCACCTCTCCACTTGAGTAAAGTGAACTCCGGAGGGGAGGTTGCCTCCTCTCCAGTGTTCACACAGCTAAGGTTGAAAGACGTGGGAAGATATTTCTTTTTAACCTGTCGCCAACCACAGGTGCATTGTGCCTTCTACCGTGCCCTTTTGGGTTCGTGCTGGGACCTCTTCGACGTCGACATGCGCAAAAGTCTCACATATAGTCCCATCACGCAAGTTGTGAGACTTCAAGATGCTGTCGGCTTATTTGTGGACCTACCTACTGTTGGATGCATAGCGGGAAAATTTGGTCTTTCAAATTAGGGTGGTTAGTTACACATTTTAAATGGTGGAACACACACAAGTCAGCTCCGAGCATGGCCCTTGAGGAAGTACAAGTCAAAAAACAATAATATTTTGTAAAATAATTTATTTTGGGTTTCATAATGTTTTATTATTTTTTAATCTTCTTTTTTGGTTTATAAATATATTTAGTGCCGGCTATAATCGCAAAATTAGTCAAATACGCATTTGGAGACGTCCGGGCAACCCAGAGCTGCATGAGTTTGAGCCATTTTAATGCGGAAGCATTAACTGCCTCATGGAGCGAGCTGACGTCATCAGTTTGAAGCGCGAAAACGGCTCCCAGTTTCCGCCGCGATCCCAATAGGAGCGATTCGCCTTCGGTTCCATTGGCTGACGCGCGTCGACAGGCCTCCCATTGGCCGCTGCGCCATGGTGTGATGATGTGAACAGGACATAGAAGAAAAGGAAGACAACATCGCAGATGTGATGGTTCAGGCGAGCTCGTGCAGTGTGGTTTTGAGGTTGGACACAGAAGGAAGGAACACAGCTCAACGCCATGGGCCCCAGCAGCCAAGTAATGTCCCGGATGGACGTCTGAGGCCCGTGGGGGTACCAACCATGCTTGCCGGGGAAACACCGCTGGCTACGAACACCGAGCCCTCGCCATCCGGAAAACGCCTAGGGCATTTGAGGTTCCGACAACACCAGAATTGTGCGACGGCGAGTGAGCAGGACACCCCAGACTTGACTTCGTGTATATATTTTTCGTGGTTGCAATAATGTTATTATTTTGATTCTTTTCAAACAATATATTTTTCCTCACATCCACCTTGTCGGAATCCCGAGTCCATACTTCTTACCATCACACATGGCCCCTGAGATCCCGAAGCGCGTGCGCACGCTAGTACGCAGCAGACGACAAAGGGAGCAGATGAGCAGGCGACAAAGAGAGCGGACGAGCGGCTTGAATGCTTACGTATACTTCGAGCTTTTTTTCTCTGCGTGGTTCTTTAAGTTAACTGACGTCGATCGCCATCACGTTTTTGTTGACAAGTAGGCCCTGCCGTCTGCTCTTCATTGCATTCTTCTGTAGCTTCAATTTCTTACAGAAATTAATTAACAGAATATTTTGTGCTGCATCGCCAAAGAGTATAGCTACACATCTATGGTAACATTCGAATGTGTTTTTCTTTTTATGGGGCATCTTCACAGTTTGTGCACAAGAATTTCTGTTCTTAATATCGGCCTATCAAACCAAATTTGGCTTGCATATTCCTTAGAATATGTAGAATGCAACTATCTAGGTTTGGTTAGAACATATATTTTTTATATTTATGACAAAATTTAAGAAATGTTTGTTAGTCCTTTGAAATTGCATTTTTGCTATTTTTAATTGTTTTAAAACGAAATAAGTGTTCCACACATTATTTCTGTTGTTTGTTGCACTCAATGGTTTAAAAGGAGCAAATTAGTTTATTTTACTACGCTTCACAAGGCTCATGTGTGCACTAGAACATGGTTTTTTCTGCATGTACATTGCATTGAGAACCTAAAAAAAAAATAGGCTATATCAAATTTAATATCATATGTGTAAAGGCAAAATTAAGCACCATAAATTGTGGAAATTTCATTTCAATATCGTAAATAATTTTTAAATTTTCCCCTGGTGCGTATCTCCTTAACATCAATTTTTTGTGCAGCAGTCTAGAGGAGTGATTACAAGAGGTGTGCAAATATCAAAGTTTATGTGAACTGTGCATGCATACCAAAGGTTGACCTACAATAGCGAGCAAGATTTCTTGGACCATTGAGCCACACAGGGCGCTCAGACATGTCAGCCATTTCTCCTAGCAGGCAGTGAAGGTTCATGCGCATGTGGCGGTGCAAAGCGGCGAGGCTAGATGCCAGAGCACTGTTGCAAAGCAGTGCATCCTGACATGAGAAACTAAAGAATTCCCAAGATGTTATTTGTAATTTTAGAATGCCAAAAAAATCTTTCAACGGTAGAAGTGTGCTGCGAAATGGAAGGCAAATCAGCTATCTTCCTGACAAAGTCGGGAAGGTTTGGTGTGCAGACCCAGTCAAGCCAGATTTTGGCGACTTTTTGCCCGTATCGTCGACATCACGTAAATATTGATATCAAAATAAATTTGAATTGAATCGGAGATTGCTTTTATAGTATCGGCCACCATCAGCAGATGCAGCTTGTGCAGAAATGCTGCCTTTCATGGAACTCTAAAAAGCGACTGTGTAAGCTTATTCATCTCAACTTCGGCCCCCACTAGAGCTTTTGTTTCGTCCCATTTTCTCGAACAGACGGCACCTAAAACAATGTCCACTCATTACCGGAGAAGAGGACAACCTAAAAATCCTGCGCTGCCGGCAGAACCACATCACGGAGATAGAGTACCTGTCCTCACTCACAAACCTCTGCATCCTGGACATGTGTGACAATGAGCTCAGGACAACGTCTGGCCTGCAGGGACTCCGGTCTCTCAGGGTGCTTCTGCTCTCCGGAAACCGGTGAGGACGTCGAAGGGCTTTCTCTTTTTAAATGCGGCAGTGTTTCAAGTGAAAGTTTGTGTTCCCCAGAAACACAAGCAAGATGATTGTTCCTGTGTACTATAACATGTCTGAATTGAAACTTAACCTAACTTGACCTTCTTTCCTTTGCATGAGTCTCACTCCTGATACTCAGTGTGGACGTGTGTAGTCGGGCTGAAATATTTTGAAAAAACCTCCTCACATCAGTTAATATTTTAGAATTATACAGTAAGAGAACCTTAATGTTGTATAACCGTTCGAGAAAAATCTGTGGTTTATAGACCACAGGTGTTCGGTGCTCTCACTTTAACACTCTTTTTTCAGGATTGAAGAGCTTTCTGGTCTGGAGACTTTGACTTCCCTTGAAATTCTGAGTGCCAGCAATAATTTGGTATGACCAAAATTTTTGAATTTGGCAGGCAAACACATTATCAGTCAGAATTGAAATGGTAGTAGTTGGGAAACATCTTTGCAGTTGACCTTGACTTTGGAAGTGTGGGGTGACATTCCCCGACTTCTGACCAGGGTCCGCTCTCCCTTTATCATCTTGTATCTGATTCTTCCCCTAAGCAGGTATGTCCCTTGACATGCTTGTGCCCTTGTTGAAAGTAAACCCTTTGTGGCAACCAAGTCCTCAACATGGGGGCAACAAGCATCATGCATCCCCTGTTGAAAGGAGTGGGAGCTGGGGTCAAGCGGTTTGACTTTCTTGACAGACTTATTTTCTGTCTAGATATATTAAAGTGCTGCTGGTGTTTCTCCTTCTAGTTTTCCTCTGTTTCTCTGTTTTCCTACTAGTTTCCCTTAGTTGCTCTCCTTTCTCTTCTGGTTTTCCTAGTTTCCCCACTCAATTTTTCTGTTTCCCCACTAGTTTCCCTGCTACTTCTCTTCTGTTTTTTATGCCAACTATGCATCTAGCAGACATGTGTAGTTGATCCTGAACCTTCACAGAAAATCGTGTTTGTACAAAGCATGCATGAAAACTCATGGATGCATGAAGGCATTCAGAGCTCATTGAACATACTGTAAAATACCGCTGAAGCACCCATTTCGTTCAAGTGCCCACTAATAACGTGTTCCAAAATTGGGAATTCTGCATATTATACGCTAAGCCCCCGATTTGACCAGACAAGCGCTCATGTCTAGATTAGTCAAGTTTCCGTGAAAGTAGGGTGGGCTCTGCCCTGGTTTTTTGCGGTAGAGTCTGGGATTTTTCAGATCTGCATTTTGTGTTTTTTAAGTGTGCAGGGAGGTAGGTTTCAGAAGCCATGCTATACAGAGAATTTGTAGTTTTTAGCAAGGGAAGCTCCTAAAAACTTGGGCTGTCACTCCTCATGCACCATACCGCTCGGTAACAACAATCTTTAATAAAATCTTGGGCCACATTCCATAACCTGGCCCAATGTTATGGGACCGTGTCCAATTGAAAGTGGAGAGGCTGTTACGGTCCGACCATATGTGTTATATCAGGGGTCAGACACATAGTCAGCATTTTGATTGGGGGCGGGGGGCTTGCCTATGACAAAATGCTGTATGAGGGGGAGGGGGGAGAGGAGGCCCCAGCAAAATGGAAGATTTTGGGGGGGGGGGGGGGGGGGGCAGGTTCCGTGGGCTCCCCCTGCTATGTACCTGTCAGGGGTAGAGCTTCACAAAAACAATTATGGCATGTAGTTTTTCACAACCGACAGTCAAATTGCAAGCATTGGAGCTTTGTCTGATTTAGTTAGTGCTTAATGAAAACTATTTACCTAATAAATATTGCTTCCTTCCTCCACCTGGCAGCGTGAGCTCGTTTCAATTTTCGCCTACCGTAAAATCCCGAGAGATGCTCCACCCCCGAAAGATAGCCCACCCCTATTTCTGGCTTGGTTTGCTATATTTTTTTAAACACCGAAAGATAGCCCATTCCTATAAATCGTAATGCTGGGATCAGTGATGGCCTCGTCGTAAATACGGCTAGTTAGCTATGGTAGGATCTACATGAACATTGCTGACTGGGAAGTACAGATATCTTTGCTTTATTGCCGGAAGGGACACAACCTTAAAATAGCAATTTTTTTAACTTTTCTTGATTGTACATTGAAAGTTAGCCCACTCCATATTTTCACCCGATTTGCTCTTGATGTTACGTGGGCTATCTCTCGGGATTTTACGGTATGTTTGTGATAGTCGGCTTTTAGTCAAACTTCTATCAAGATTTGCATTACTCATTTAAAAATGTCAAATTTGGTCAAGCTCAAACCTCGCCAGGTGCACAGCATCCCTTCTTATGACAGACTGCCACCATCGCAGGCACTAAGAAGAAGGGCCCAAGTTTAGAACTGTATGTAAAAAATTGCCCGCTAATGACAGCTATGTTTTTCATACTGATGCATCAACTATGTAGTATGTATGAAAGGATGTGTTTAATGATACGATCACGGTTCATCCGAATATAGGGGTGGTATGAATTTTTCAGAGTCCCCGGGCAAACTCTTTTAAAACTAATATGTTACTATTTGAGATACTATCAATGCTGTCTCGGGCCGGAGGGGATCATGCGAACGAATGTGCCTATCTCAAAAAGGTAACAATCATTGTTTACACATCCTCTAGGGCAGCATAACTTGACTACAACCGTTGCAGGTGCTTTTGTGTCATTATTGCTCTGTTCTTTCTGCATGCGTGTCGTGCAATCACAACAACGGTGGCTGCAGTAAAAAATTCCAAAACATACCCACATCCAGCATTGCTGCACTTTCTGTGTCGTCGCTTGATTCAACTTGCTGGAGTAACTCGTATTCACCTACATCCAGGGTTGCTGCTTTAGTTTTGCTGTCATGTGATAAGTTGGCTTTAGTAACTCTCAATCACTCTAGTGAACTTGAAAAGTGACTTTCGAAATCATCGTTGATCATGTGATCGCCAGACCGGCATAACTCTCCGTCAAACGTTGAACTCTGTTTGCTTTTTTTGTTTTTTAAACCAACTTTTGGAAGGACGTTTATTGTCTGCCCAGCGTGTGAATTGGGACTCGATTCGAAACGTCTTGCGAGAGGAAAGCGCAGTTTTTCAGGGAGAAGCTGGAAGTTTTGAGAAAAGTGGACGAGGACCCAAAGAGAAAATGCGCAGAACTTAGTGAAGGAGTTAGGCCTGGTGCCTAACTTGAGAACGGACAATGAAAAACGTTCAGCATTTCGGCATCAATGTCAAGCAGGCAAAGATTGTGCAGCATGTGAAGCTTGAAGTGTCATTGGCGCGGTTTAAGAAGGCGACGGCGGCGGGTTTTGACACCGACATGCAAGGTGCTGAGAGAAGAAGCGGACGACAACGGGCTTTCGCTTGGCATTGAGAACTTCCATGCATCAGGCGGTTGGCTGTACCATTCTAAAGCTAGGCATGGCCTGGCATATAAACGAGTCTGCGGCGAAGGCAAGAAAGTGGATGAATCTGCCGTCACTAGCAAACGCTCTCCCATTGCTAATTGCGAGTTACGAAGCCCATAATATATTTAACGCTGACGAGGCAGGTGTCTTCATCAATGTACAAGAAGAGAAGAGCCTTTGCTTCGAGAGCCAGACTTGCATGGCCAGACAGTAGAGCAATCAGAGAGTGACTGTTCTCTTTTGTTGCAACGCCGACAGTTCAGAGAAGATGATGCTTATTGTCGGAGGCAGATTTGACAAGCCGAGGTGCCTCAAAGGTGCGGGCCGTTTACCCTGCATTTACAATGGCAAACGAGAAGTCTCGGATGACGGGGTGCCTTTTTCCGGGCGTTTCTTACGTACCTTGCCAGCAAAATGTTGTGCAAGGGCAGGAAGATCCCACCGTTCCTCGACCGGTGCGCCACGCACACGAAACAAGTCAACCTCAAAAATGTTAGCGTAGTGTTTCCGCCGGCTAACACAACAAGCCACCTACAGCCTCTAGACGCTGGCGTAATTCAGAATTTAAAGTGCCATTTTGAGGGGCTTCCGGTCCAACGTCTCCGCTCGCCAAGATAGATCGGCAAGACGAGGAACTTCAGATCAGCCCCACGTACGCTTTGCACTTTCTCTTCGTGTTTTGGGGCCATATTACTGTGAGCATCAAGGCGAACTGCTTTTGCAAGTGTGGATTCGTATGTCCTACAGTGGCTGCTCTTCCGGAGCCAGAGGAGAACAACTTGACAATTGAGGACTGGGATCAACTTGTTGCTGAGGGACCGGCCTTTGATTTCATTACTGTGGACGACAACATTGCGGATTAAGGACTGTCGAGGAAATTGTTGACGAAGTGACAGCACCGCAAGGAGAGTCAAGTAGCGAATATGCCGACAGCGATGCAACTAAGGACGAGCAACTTGTGACAACTGCCGAAACGCTGCATGTCGTTGACGTTCTTTGGCGCATAGTGAACTCGATTAAGATCAGCGACGACAGATGCACACGTTTTAATGTCCTTCAAAAGTGTCTTCTGGGCGACGTCGAAGGAAAAAAAAGGTTGAGAAGAACATTAGTGACTTTTTTGGCTGGCAGTTTTATGAATAAATGGCAAGTAACTTATCCCTTGATTTGATGTACGTATTTGACTTGTTTGTTGTTCGTATGAATTTCGGATAATACAAACACTTCCTGCGACCCCGCGAGATTCGTATCGTTGAGTTTCTACTTATCTCTTCCCCATGATCTGTCCGGGCAGTGGGAAGTTGGCAAAGTGGCTTCTATTGGCCGTCATCTCTACATTGAAGTATGTAAGAGCCGCTTGTGAGCTTCTGTATATGATCATGAAATTCATCAAAACGTCCAAATGTAGGGATGACGGTTAAATAAAATAAATATTGCATTTTAATTTCTTTTTTAGGAAATTGTATATGGTGACATGGGTCACCTATCTAGACAGTTTAAAATCATTTGAGTTGGCAGTGTCCTTTCAATGCAGCTTTCAATAGCAGAAGTGTTGTAAGTTGGGCGAGTTGGTATGATGACATGATGAACAGAACAGCGCACACGAAGACAAGGACAGGGAAAAGGAACATGCAGGACACACAAGCGCTGTGTGTCCTGCATGTTCCTTTTCTCTGTCCTTGTCTTTGTGTGTGCTGTTCTGTTCATCATGTCAGCTTTCAATAGGCTTGTGATGCATAAATTGGGTTCCATTCTTATTTTGCAGATAAAAAGTGCAAGAGGTCTCGAAGGGTTAAAGGAGCTATGTATACTAAACTTGTCATCCAATCAGGTCAGTTGCCTGGGCTCCGAACTAAACCAGCTCACACAACTGACCGAGCTGTACGTGGAAAAAAACAGGGTCACGAGCATTGTGAGTCTTCTATGGTTCTTGCATCTCAACTTTGCACAGTGACTTGGACCTGATAGTCCTCCTGCACTCTGTTCACGATGGGACCATCGGTCACCAACATGATCTACCATATCTTCCAGACTGTAGTCCATGGGCTAGACATGTTTGAAATCATTTTGAAAAACAGCACGAATACCACACGGACAAGAAGGAGGAACACACAGGACGAGGCGCTGACTATCAACTGTCTATTCAGAACACATACATAGAAATTCACGCGAGGACGGCTTCTTCTTTTTCCTCTTTTTTATTTATAAATCGAGACTATACAAGGATTGATTTGTTGAAGATACCTTATTTACTCACATAATGAACGCACCCCCCGCAACGGGTACCACTTTTTAGTCTTTTTGTTTCTCTCGCGTAATGAACGCACTTCCGATTTTCAGCTCCGCAAGTTTCAAATTGAGTCCAACTTAGCTAGCTACCAAGCCAGTTTTCTTTTGCCGCCAACCGGTCGGGCCAAGTCAAGCCAAGCCAAGCCAGGCTGCTCTCGTAATGGCTGCAAGTGCATAGTTGTGAAAGTGATCAACCATGAAACCAAGCAGCGCGCACGCTTGACGAGGCTTGGGTCGAGGATATGCCCAGCCCCGAACATTCTTCGCCTATCGCATGCATTGATGTCAACAAACACGCTATCGTCTGCGGTCTGCTTTCGAACAGTGAAATCGTGAAAGTGGTTAGGCCCAAAAACAGTCGCGTCGCTCTCCGTGCTGAGCTCGCTTCATAGGGTGCTTTTCCTGCGGCAAAAAGGTATGCCGAAAGCACCCTAAAAAGGTTCGCAATTTATTAAAAAAATGGTTACTGTGGCGCGCCCCCGACCAGCCAGGGGTACACCTCCATCAGTGGAGACGTGCCACAGTACCTTTCCGTGTCATATTGGCACCTAATACAACATTTGCGCAAAGTGTGTACATGCGAAAATTTTGCCCCGCGTAACGAACGCACCTTCCAAATATGTGTCAGTTTTTTAGGAAAAAAAGTTCATTATGCGAGTAGATACAATAGTTTGTTACGACGAGATGTGATGGGATTTTGTGAGTGACAGGCTAATCATTGTTTCCATGTCAGATCGTACAATAACTGTCCCGGTCATATTTTTATTTTTACAGCGGAGCTGTTAAGGGCTAGTTTCCTGAAGATCGTGTCCCCCGCAAAGAAATGTCGACACAAAACTCTGGACAGCTACCGCCATCTGTGAGCGACAGCGGCAACCAAACAACTGGTTTGCCGGCCTCGATCAATGATGGTGGCAACCTTTCCAGCCTTTCCACTTTGGTTTTCACCAGAGTGGAAAGGCTGAATTTCTCTAGGTGTCATCCAAGATGTCGTCCTCGAGGTCGTTCTAGAAGTCGTCCTTGAGGTTGTCCTTGAGGTTGTCCTTGAGGTTGTCCTAAAAGTAGTCCTTGAGGTCATTGTGGAGGCCCTCGTGGTCGTCCTAGAAGTTGTCCTTGAGGTTGTTTTAGGCGTCGTCCTTGAGATTGTTCTAAACGTCGTCCCTGAGGTCGTCTTGAGGTCATCCTAGAAGTTGTCCTTGAGGTCGTCCTAGACGTCATCCTTGAGGTCGTCCTAGACGTCTTCCTTTAGGCGTGGTCCTTGAGGTCATCCAAGAAGTCGTGCTTGAGGTCGTCTCATCATAATACAGCTTTGTTGGTCTTCCTTCTTCACCAGAGTGGAAAGGCTGAAAGTTTTTCTGTAAGAACTATATGGAAAAGCCATGTAATTGGGAGGAACATTCAGCTATACTTGAACACCGTAGCAAAATATTTTCCAGAGATATAAAATTGAGAAGCTCGATGCATGGGCATTGCCGAGATTTCACTATGGTAATTTGCTTAGCTGCCAATGTTATACCAAAGCAGGCACATAGTTAATATTTTTATCATTTATATTATAGATAATTTACAACATGCACACCAAATATTAAAAATTACAATAATGTATTTTTATGCCATCAAAATTACGAAACATGTAAAAAAAAAACATTTTAGAGGCACATTCATAAATTATTTGCCAGCAAACAACTTTATGCAAAACGTTGCAAAATATGTCAAATTTTTTGTCTTGAAATGTAGCTTACGAATATACAGGGTGTCACAAAAGAAAATTTACACGGTCTTTTTTACCGCAAAAATAAACTAGGCATCCCCGAACGCTCATTCTCCGCCCAAAGGTAGAGCCAGAGGTCACAACCAGATGCCAAAGTTTCAGCCCGATCCGATAACTTAATTAAAGGTTATAACGGATTTTCTGAAAATTTCAATGAGAAAATGGCGGCCGACGGAGTTTTCAGACACATGGGGCTCTATGGCACCAGAAACCGAAAACGGGCAAAAATGGGCTCCATTTTCCCATTGAAATTTTCAGAAAATCACTTATAACTTTTGAGTAAGTTATCGGATCGGGCTGAAACTTTGGCATCTGGTTGTGACCTCTAGCTCTACCTTTGGGCGGAGAATGAGCATTCAGCGATGCCTAGTTTATTTTTGCAGTAAAAAAGACCGTGTAAATTTTCTTTTGTGACACCCTGTATATAAAATATTTGCTTAGCCATCATTGTAGTCTTGATATTAATGCAGAAACGTAAGTCATTTCTCTAAAAGTAGCAAAATTGCACATCAATATTAAAAATCTCCATCTACTCTCCTTAACTCCTTGCAGTAACTTGAACTAACTTGTGATGGCAAAATATTGAGTAGCATATGACCTCCGATGAAAAGAAGGACGACAAACTTTCACTCAAATGGAGCTAGCTTGTCTTCGTTATAGGGGCTTTGCCGCACAACGTCAGCACCAAAGAGATTTTTTTTTAAACTGGATAGGGTATTTCTATGTGAGCTCATTCAATGATGCTCATTATGACTTTCTGAGAAGTGAACGCACGCAAATGAGCTGATTAGGAAACACAGTCTAACACCCTGAGATTAGGAAGTTGGTCGGTTCTCGTAATCTTGATGGAAATTATCTTTGTGGGTGCTTGGCGGCATATACTCAATGTCGGTAGCGTGTCTAATGTTGAAAGGATTTAGCGTGTCAAGCCACGTCTGGCCAAATCTGTGCAACGTCATGTTCTGTTTTCTTTATCCTTTCTTGTTTTGGTATGGTCGAAAAAACGTGGCTGTTCTTGAGATTTTGTGTTGTGTTGTTCCTTTTTTATTTGTTCTTCCTTTTACCACGGCTTTATATAGTTTTCTCGCCTCATTATATGAACCCCAATCTACTGCGAATTCTGGTTTGGCTGGCTTGTGCCTGCCTTGCCTGTGCTTGTGAATTACTACACTGCCATTTTCACACCCTTTATTACGACTGTAGTATATTCATTGACAAGTAGGGATAGATTTGTCTTTTATGCACTGAAACATATATCAGGAAATTCAAAATGCTGATATGACGTGGAGTGTTTCAAGTATCAGTGCTTCAAAGGTCTGTACATCAGACTCTCGAGCACCTTGGTTTTTTATTGGAGCTCGTATGTATGATTGAAAGCATACAATCATGTACAAATGCTTTTGGTATTAATGCAGTGTATTAGCCAATCTCTTTGACTGCTCTGTCTTTTAAACAGCCTTACAAGGTGTTTTTGTGCTTATAAAACTGCTTGGCCTGCCGATCAACCTCCCCTGTAAATATAACTAGAGAGCCAAGACTGTCAGGTTCATAAGCCACCCTGGTTCATGGTACAATGGGTTCATTGTAATGATCTTTTTGACCGCTCAGCCAGTTTTGTAATATCCCGAAATCTTCCCCGCCCCCGAAAGATAATCCACCCCTTTTTTGGCATGAATTGTTTTTTTGTTTTTTTCTTCAAAAACTCCGAAAGATATCTTATTTTTAGTAATTGCAGTACCCTGGCCAATGGGACCTCGGCTGAAAGGGGGTTAGTTAGCCACGGTGGGAGATAAGCAAACATCACACACCGAAAGTTAGCCCGTTTCCCATTTTCACCCAATTTGCTCTCATTTTTAGATGGGCTACCTCTAAGGATATTACGGTAGTTCAGGGTTTTCTAGGACATGCTCTCACACTGTTCTCCAATTGCAAATTCTGTAATCTGTGCACTCTGCTCGAAGTGCAGTGTACTTATGGAAGTGAGGTTTCAGGACTGCTTGCAGGAACTCCCAAACCTGAAGAAGCTCTTTCTCAGCAACAACTTTATCAAGAGGTGTGTAGCAGCAAGGCATACCACAGAGCTTTGCGATTCCAGCTGCACTTCTGGGGCCCTAAGCTGGACACTTGGCAAAAACGTCGGCGAGAAATCTGGCGGCTGCAATTGGCCAACGCCACACTTGACCTTGGCGCCGCCAATCATAGCCGCCGAATTTCTCACCGACGTTTTCGCCATGTGTCCAGCTTAGGGCTCCTGCTGTGGCAGATGTCGCGGCTAGCGCACCACTCCAGCTGCATCTCTGTGCAGCTTGGATGACGCAGCAAATTTGATGTCCTGCACATCACTTCTTCAGTTGTCCCTGAAAGGATGTCCAGTCACCCGTCTGCAAGGCTACAGACAGGCATTGCTCACCGGCCTCCCCCAGTTGAAGTACCTGGATTATTCCTTTATCACCGTAAGTTCATTCCTCTGGCAGCACTGATCGCTTTCCTCAAACTTAATCACACAACTTCGTCGCTAGATTTCCTTGCTTTCTGGTACACATGTCGTGACTTTTTTTTTTTTTCATTTACAGTCCAAACTATATAATGTCGCAGACAACGAACGCTCGGAGATATCCAAAACGCAAATCAGAAATGCGGATTTAACGGATGTTCGAAGGTATTCGTTAATGCTTTAATAGGTTCCCAAGCTGGGTTCTTAGGAACCCACGAGGTCGCCAAAGCACCCTCAAAGGCTTCCCAAGTGTCGAAATTTTCCCTTTCGTTCCTTTCCTGAAGTAAAAACATCCTCTAGTTTAAGGTAATTTTTTTTTTAGATTTGAGCCACCTAATAATGTTTAACTATGTGCCAAACATTCCCTAATGTCAGTTTACAAGGTCTGCAGGCATCTTCACTGCCCCACTGCATCGGTGCCGAGATCATCCAAGGGGTTCCTTGGCTATGTTATTCAAAGCAGACGGGCATTCCCCGAGATTAAAGAGTCTTAAAGAATCCCTGCACTAGGTCATTCACCGCAGTTCCCGTCACTTATTTCTACAAAGGAAGAAGAAAGACGACGCGCTCGCCTTTCTTGGCAGCGGGAGACACGGCGAAGGCGGCGTCTGACCCAGCTAAGAAGACACAGAGTGAGTCACTTCCAGGCGGTCAACAGGGTTCTTATCTGTTGACACTCTCAATGCCCACCCTATCTGAGATTATCTGAGCCACCCATGATCCGCTAATCTCTCGGGGGAGACCCTGGCTTATGCGTAAATCTGCTGAGTTCACGCTCGCCGATAAGGATTCTCCCGGCACAAATCTGCAAGAGGGTGCGGACCTTTGGCCCCGAACCCCTCTAAATTGAGTTGTTTGTTCCTTCGTAAATGTGTTTGCTCTTTTCGGAGGAGGCTTTTAGCCCGATCCTCGTTTTCCACTGAAAATTGGTGGGGGTGGCAGCAAGATGTCACTGACCTCTGTGTCTCTGGACGAGTGCTTTGTGTGTGGATTGACTGTGACGAGGAAAGTGTGAGGTGCTGCTGCGATTTCGATCCTGTGGAAATTTCCTAAATTTCTGAAAGGTCGATGAACCCAGCTTTTCTCGCATCCTACTGACAAGGGACGACTCCAAAGAGTTGTCATTCTGAATGCCACATATCATTAACATATGATTAGCCATTTGTGCCCACCTTTTTTTTTTGTTCCTTTTTTTTACTATATGCAAATAGAATTGTCTCCACTGTGAAATTTTCATTGCAACTGCCAACATGTTCTTTTTCATTTTTGCGAGGTCTTTGTTACATCTATGGCCATCAATATTTTGTACTAATTTTTGAGGAGTATATTGTTTTTTTCTTTAATTTTTGCATTGTGTCATTTCATGTAACGTTCCTACGGAAATGCCCCCTGGGCAGAGTATAGGTACTTAAATAAATAAATAAGTGGATGAAAGTGTTTGCAAAGACTATGGGTGAATTTTGAGCTTCAAAATTGTTTCTTTTCATCTGGACGACAATATTTATAGTTATACATCTAAATTAACATCTGGAGGGGAAGTTTGGAGTTGTTGCCTTGAGATACGCTAAATGGATGCCGGCAAACTCACTTGCCCCAAAGCGTCCTCTGCGACTTCTTGTTCATCCTGTAAATTCGGCCTTCATCCAATCCTCCCATATGCTAGCCGCTGTCGAACCACTAAGGAAAAATAAAATCTCAAGTTTGTGGACAGAGAAAACACCTTTCGTGACCTACGCATAGTTGCTAGACTTCGCACACTTTATTGGTGACTTGTGACTCGAACTGGTGAAAAGAACTGCAACTTTGCGAGAATGGAGCTTCGGAGAACTGCCGCTGTGTGTGTTTTTAGTCGGGTTAGAAGGTGGTGAAATGCAGAGCATGTAGTACATATTCAAGGCGTATTTTTAAAGCCAAGGCATATTACAAAGTGTGGTATCCATTCTATATTTTTAGCTCTTTATTTTTTTTTTATGTGAAAAATGCTGAAGTACTATAAAACTATATGACCTTTCACACGCGTCTTTGGAAAGTTCCTCACAAAATGTGTAAGCATCCCTGAAGAAAAAAAATGTTTTTCACTGCAAAAATGGCCTATGCATTGCCAAACGCTCAATCTCGGCCTAAATGCAGCACTAGCAGTCCTAAACAAATTCTAAAGTTTCAGAGGTTGCCAGTGGGGTCACTACCCTAGAAAAAATCAAATTTCTTCAAAAACAGTTGACTTTAGAAAGTTCCATATTTAACATCCCCCAGCATGGTGTTCTCAGAAAGTTTCCTTTCTTTACACTGCATAGTGTTTTTTTATAAATTATTTTCAGTCCTACAATGCTAAAGAAAAGGCAGAGGTTCGAGCACTTTGAACGTGTTTTTCTCCGTTCCACGTTTTGGCGTAGGTAAATTTCACCACTCAAGGAAAACTATTGTTTGGAAACAGGACAAAAGGAAAGGCTCACTCATGGTGTTTCCTAACTTAAATTTAATGGGCAATGCAATTGTGGCATTGTTTTATTACTTTGTGGCTGTCTTTTATCAAAAGACGTTGAGATTTCGTCATCGACATAAAAGGCAAAAAATTTATTTGACTTTTCAGCGCGATGTTAGCATAAAATAAATTAATTTTTGGAAATTTTATTTTTACAGTTGCATTATCTGGGCCTTCTGCTGCATAGGTATCTAGTGAAGAAATATTTGGGGTTTAGTTTTCTAATTATTGATGTTTTCCTGATAAAAGTGACTATAATTTCTTTCACAATTCATGTGCACATATAAAACTGTGCTGCATTCTGCCTTGCAACTGCCAGTTTATACTCTAAATTTGTCTTCATATTAAGCCAAAGGTTGACCCCCTGGGTTGTGTCCTTCTTTATGCTGATTAAAAGATTACTACCCATTTTCTGAAATTTTTAATGGGAAAATGGCAGCCGACGAATGCCCACCGATACATGGAGACGAGTGGCGTTAGCAACCATGAACGAGCCCCATTTTCCCATTTAGAGTTTCAGGAAATAACTCACAATTTATGAATAAGGTAATGGTTACTCCTGAAAGTTAGGGCGTGTGATTTGGACCGCTATACTCCGTGTCACTAGTTGTGTGCAGTGCAGGCGAAGGCAACACCAGGCGACTAGAGAAAGGGCGAACACCAGAAAGGTGGGACGGGAGAGGAGGGCAGTGAAGGAGAGGAGGTTTCTTTCCTCCTCTTCCCCAGCCTTCCTAGTGCTTGCCCTTTCTCCCTGCCCCTGGTGTTGCCTTCGCTCGTAATGCACGCAACTAGTGACACAGAGTATAGTGCTTTAGTCAGCAACGCATAGTTTATTTTTCTGGCAACAAAAATAAAAAAACATACCTTGAACCTTTTAACGGGAGATATTTGGGGGGAAAAGGCGGGCAGGGGAATCCTCGAGTTTTGCCGACCCGCCTTTTCCGTTTCTAAAACCTCTATGCTCCCTTCGTTAGGCTACCTAGCATTCGCTGATCTATAAATAAAAAAATTGAATGGAGTAAAAAAAATGAAGAGTCAACAATAAAATACAAAATCCAACCAAGTGTAAGTAGGGAGCAAGCGAGCAGGTGAAAGAAGAGCCAAAGAGTGATGCTGGGGAAGCGAGAGAGCCCGCGATGGCGGTGGCAAATACTTTTGTCGGGTCAAGTCGGGCGCCTTGTCAATCACAAGGGCCAGGTTCTCGTGCAACTTGCTTGTTTGGCGCACGCACGCTTGCATCCGGAGACTTCTAATAAGAAGGGTCTGCCCAGGTGTTCTCAGTTCTTCGAAATTGCTATTTTTTGGGGGGGGCAGCGGGGCGGGCGATGATATCGGGATTTCCTTTGAAGTAGATATTTTCGCAGGAAACACCGGTCGGTCAGAGTTTGAAGGTGTGCGTACGTTCTAGAATATTATGATATACTTTTTTTTCTGATACACGCTACACATCATCGAATCAGTTGAACTCACCTTTAGCAATTGAATGCTAAACAGTGCGGGACCATGCATGACATCCTTGATGATTAATTTCATTTGGTTGACCATTCAAGCTGCTCAACTTAAATTATGTTTTGTGACTCCACATCTTGCATCCTGTTAGGCACTGCTAGATGCTGCCATCACGTCAAGCCGGCTGCTTTGGGAATGCCCGGACCCACAGGCCTCGCTTTCTACATTGAAAGAGAAGACGTTTATCATGCTCCCTGCAAGCCAGCACGGCTCCACTGAAGATGAGTCTTCCTCGGCGTCTTTATCGACGTAAGTATGGGCATGTTGTTACACATCCAAAAAAGCACATCCAAAACTTAAAAAAATAATGCAAAAAAGTGAAAGCCGTTTACAACTCCCTGTAACACCGAATTAGAGTGCAGCTCTTGAGGAGGAGGAGGGAAGGGTACAGAGGGGGGGGGGGGGGGGGGGGTCACGTGACCTGGGGGGGTGGTCATGTGACCCCCTCCCCCAGGTCACCGAAGGTACCCGAGGTCCTCGGGGGGGGGGGGGGGGGGGGGGGGTCGCGGTTACGCAGACGCTGATGCCGCTCAAGCCGGAAACGGGCGTCTAAGAGCTGCGCTCTAAAAAAAATATTATGTTGTTTTTCTTGAATACTTGCAGTCATCAGCTTGATGGAGCAGTGTAGGGCTATTGGCATCTGTAGGTATGTGGTACCAAAGTATATGACCTATTGCCTTTTTTTTTCTTTAGAATTACTTGTGAGGCTGTTGGAGATTAACAATCTCCACATTTTTTGTTGAAGTTCTCTCCAAGTCCAAATGCTAGTCATTTGTTTTTCATTTGAGCAGTTTTAAAATTTTTCCACATAGATTTTGGACTGTACTAGCACGATCAGGGTAATTCTGTCTTTCCAAAAAGCTGCTTCATGATTCGTGTTGACCATGTGACAAAACTTGCCAGAATAGATTGAGCCATGTATTGCAGCGGCCACAAAAGAAGGAGCCAGTCCATACTAGGACAAAGGAAGGAGGTTGTAATAGCAAGTTTTCACCACTGCACTTTGGTTGCATGTGGAACGAAAACTTACTTCTATCAGGTGTAAGGAGCTCAGCTGTAACTGGTGTCAGGTCTGGTCGAAATGCACCTTAATACTCAAATTTTTCAGCCATTCTGCACTGTCCATATTGCTTTTGTACAGCCGGGACACATAGTTAATACTCTGTCTAACGAAGATGGGGGGAAGCTGCAAATTACTTCATTAAATCGAGGAATTTGTGAAATCGAAAATGGCATTTTTCTTAAATTAGGTTTGATAAACCTACCGCAGAATACCGTGAATCCTCCCATTCCATACCGCATTCCCAAAGCGCACATGCGTCAAAAATGTGGTGTACGAGTGAATGAGTTTTACTCCATGAAGACAACCCGTACTGCTAGTGCGTGAAGGAAACTTCACCGGGGCTATTTATACTTCGGAAATCAGACGCTTCGTGCACGTCACGGGCATCAGATGGTTGCTTTGCATCTTTGCTACTCTCGTGGTAGTGCCAATTGGAGCACTGGCTCTTCCGGTTCAGACCTTTGACGCTTCTCAGAATTTAATTCAGAGGGTGAGAGCTTACCATCGAAGGGAGAAGCTCCGTAAAGTACCTCCAGTTTGAGGGCTGAGACCGCCAGAATGTTGCGGAAGCAGACGCGCCAAGATAAAACCAAATGGGAGGTGGGTGACAACTTTTTGCCTTAAATATTTCCATCTGATGCTTCTAAATCTAAAAGGCTTGCAAACCCTGTAGATGCTACCGCTAGATATTTAAGGAAAAACCTGTGCATTGATTCTTTCTTTATGCTATTCTTTTTTAAACAAAATTCAACCCGAGTGAGCCATCTCTTGGGAAAAATAATTCGACCGTCAGAAGGTTGAACGAGACATAGTATTTGGCTAAACTCGTAAATTGGGTTGTAGTGGTACAGATTAGAAAATTTAATGCAATTACAACTCCCTGGGGGTACCTGGGTAGGCTGCAGGTTTTGTTTAACAAACATGTGGGGTGTTTGCAAGTCAGTCTCACTTTCTCTTTTTTAATAGCTCTAGCCCCTCTATGTTGCAAGATAGTTAATGTAGTTACTGCAACCCTCAGGACTTCTGCAATATTTCTTGCTGTTTCTGATCTGTTTCGTTGAGTGCACTTCTCACTGCGCACCGCTGCACTGCAGAGAAGTGACACCCATGAAGTGCACATTGCTATTTTGCGTATGTCTCTTTGCTACAGTGCAGCCGTGTACTAAGAAGAAAGAACGTCTCCAGGGTAAGGCAGCGACCACGTATGCATTGGGCATCTGAAAGCATACTTGTGTGTTTCAACTTTATATTACTACATCAATGTTTGTTAAAAGAGCGGTTTGTTTTAAGGAAGGCGGTTAATATAACAGGGTAGCAGTGCATAAGAAAAGTGACTTGAAATTTACAACATGCTCGCTGCCCAAATAAGCCAACCACTATTTCAGGTGTGGTGCTCTCGACGATGCTTACTGCCAAGCAGCTGAGCTAAAAGACGTCACTGTGGAAATATATGGTCCTGGAGCGATAGCCAAGCTTCTTTGCCAGTCTTTGAGTCAGAGATCTGTCGCCTCCATCACTGTGCTGAAGCTGAACTACGTCTGCTATCAAGATGTCTTCCCCGACTTGGTTAAGCTGCGGAAGAAGTTTCCAGGCATTAATGTACGTACGGGAGCTGGATTCTCGAAGCGTCTAGAACGGGGGTCTCAAACACGCGGCCCACGGGTTGCATGCGGCCCACTACTCGCTGGAACCCGGCCCGCAGGCAGCCGGCTGCGATTCTCGGTTCCCATGTCTCGAGCGCTAGAAATGGCATGTGTCATTCTGATTTCATCTTGTCGAGTCATTTTCGCTCGAAAAGTAGCTCTGCTCTTTTAACGTATTCACATAGTTTATGCATATCTGTGTTCATTTTCCCTTTGTTTCGCTTTATTTTTTTCTTCTCTACTTTTTGTAATGTACAACAATTGGGCTTCTAGGCTGGAAGCACAAGCTATTCGTTGAAGGGTGCATCTCGGCTGCACAAACTCTCGATCAGCAGAAGCAACTGCCAAAGATAAAGCTACAAGCTTGGGATTCTCGCCTTCAAAAAATATATTACCATTAGGAGTCAAGTATTTGTTCATAGTGTTGTAATAAAAATAGTCTGGAAAGCAAGAACTGCCAGATTAACAGATAGCTTTTAGAGACATGTTGAGCTTGCTCCGCTGTGACTTGAGCAACGAAAAACGACGGTGCACTTGCTCTCTTGTTCTATTAAAATTGCCAGCAACCTGGTGGGGTGGTGTCATTTTGATCATTTTTATCACGTCAGGTCAGGGCCCAAAGTAGCCAGACAAACAGATAAAAATCTAAAGATGTCACTGGCAAAACTATGAGTTTACAAAAAGCATAGAGCACCCCCACTCATCTTACGCTGGCCCTTAACCTTTCCAGTGGGGGCTGTCTGGCCCCCACACTCAATTGAGTTTGAGACCACTGATCTATAGAACTCGAAAAAGAACACAATGTGTGAGTTTTTTTAACCACAATGACGTTTTCAAGTAGTATGTACCTACTTTCCAGTATTAGAACGAACTTCCGGAAGAGCTTAGAACTCTCTCGACAGATTTTCTTCCTGCGTCCAGTCACTTTCACCGAGGACATGAGTCAGAAGAAATTGCATCTTTATCATCCGAATTCTAAAAACTTCCGCGATTAATTCTCACACGTTGCGTTAATGTTACCCCACCAAAACAGCGCTCGTGTGTTCTGTTTTTATGTCCACATTGTTCGTACCGCAAGCACTTTACCCGATTGATTTACCGGTATCTTTTGTGCGATATTATGTTTTTCTGTGATTGCCTCGTCTGTTATATTTTATGTTCCACTACACTGCATGGTTTTGGTTGCCTTGGCCTTCCTATCAGCGGCCGACCAGTCGAGTGATGAATACTGTAAACGACTTAATTTTCGTGAGGACCTAATTTTCGCAAATCGCCTACAATTCACGAAAAATAGGTCCCGCAAGCATTTCCGGTAAAGTGTAAACACATTGAAATCTATATTGAAATCCCACCGTGTCACGAAAATTAGAACCCGCGAATTATTCCAAAACTTCAGCTTTGACCTAAATCGCGAAATATATTGAGCCCGCGAAAAATAAGTCGTTTACAGTAAAAACATTTTAAAAATATTTTCGGTGTTTGCTCGCTGATTTTGTCCTTTGCACTTGAAATCAGCAAATGGTCTCGCTTGTTAAACAAAAATGGTAACATTCTGTGCTGTTTAAAGCTTGTAGGCTACTGTGGGGTGTCCTACTTGATGCGGTAGATTTGTTCCGTTTTGTGATTGTGTTACTTTTTTGTTTCCACAGTGTCTTTATCTACGGTGCTGCAGAGTTGACAAGCTGTGTCACCTCAAGATGCTGTCGAGTCTACGAGGACTCAAAAGCATCACCGTTGAAGACGCCGGCAATGGGGTTACGCTGCTCTCCATCTGGAAGCCTTACTTCATCTTTTGCCTTGGGGATGATGTGGAAACGCTCAATTCGAGTCCAGTGAGTTGTCTTCCTAATCCTTTACCCCAATTAAACTGTACTGTTTTTGAGTACTACAGCACGGAGTATAATTTACAGCTGCTCCAAAGATAGTGCGCTGTCGTTATTAAAAAGAGTATAAAAGTGGGCAAGTTATGAAGAGGATCTTGGGACATCATTGGAGCCACTGAAAAACGTTTCTTGCATGGTTCAGGATTTCTGGAAGGGGAGTGGGGAGGGGAGTGGGGAGGGGAGGGGCGGGGGGGGGGGGGGGGGGGGGGGGTCTGGGGGACAGGACAGGCGGGCAGATTTGGCTGGGGAGGACCTTGCAAAAAGATCTGTGGTCACAGGCAAAGCATTGCCGAGATCTACTTTGTTGACCTACTTCACCAAAAACTAAACATTTCTTCCAAAGCAAAAGTTGGTGTACAGTCAAACGCCTATACTACAAAAATGGCTGTTTAGGGAGGACAAGGTGCTTAAATTCGCGGAAAGGTTCATTTTTAAAAAATCCAATATTTGGGTGCCTCAAACATCTGAGCACCTCTGTGCAAAATCTCACGGTGTAATTCAATCTCAAAATATAAAACACGCTGTCATTTCTGCGCTAGAAACGCACCAAGAAACAGCCCAAGAGAGAAAACGGACGTCAAAACTCATGCACTTCGCATTCCACCATTGCGCGGTTGATCGCCGCCATCTTGGACTCATTGGAAAGGTGTTTTCTTTGTTTACGTTTGGGCACCATCTAAAATAGTGTCAGCCTTCGGAAGCAGAGATACTATTGCAGTTTTCTTTGGGGAAGATAACGCGCTCCTGATTGGTTACTGAGCTCGGGCCACGGAGAAGGCTGCTGCTGTTGGCCGGAGCGAGGGCCCCCTCTCCAAAACTTTGTAGCCTTCTCTCACTCCTTCGCTCCCGCACACGCCGTAGGGAGCTGTCGTCTGCTACCGCGGCCACATTGTTGCGTGTTGACTCCTGTCAACAAGCACGTTTCTTGGCGTTCGCCTGCCTGGTTTTGTTTTGCGTCTTTCCGGAGCCATCGCGATTGTTTGCAATGCTTAGCGACACTCGTTTGAAGGAGTCTATGCAGCATGTGTACGGAAAACGGAAACAACGCGCGTAAAACAAGAGCTCGCCCGCATCGCCAGTCATGTTGCGGGCGGTGGACTCCGAGAAAGTTTTGCTACCAACAGCTGCGTCGTTTTCGCCAGCTCCTGAGCCGGACAACAAAATGGACAGCACTGTCGGCGGTAGTACGCTACGAGTCGACACGCATTTCTATTCGCCGGATGAAAGCGCAGAATGCGCAGCACAGGTGGACACTGCAAGCAAGACTTGGCAGCAAAGTCCGCAACAGGACGGAAGTTTGACCTTCTGAACGTCACCCACAAAAATGAAAAGGTTGATTCTGGTACTCAGTTTATCGTCGTAGATCTGAAGGTACTCAACACATTTTTCACGTCCACGAAATGTGGGCAGCGCGGATCGGCCGCGCCAACGCTGGAGAAATTCAAGGGACAATAGTATGGCCTGGCTGTGAAGTTTGAGTTGTCGTGTCCTGCGTGCAACTTCAGTGAGGAGCATTTCTCATCTCCCAGAGCTCAAGGAGAGGCAAGAATTACACCCCTTGAAGTGAACGTGAGAGCCATGAAAGGCATTCAGTCTATCGGCAAGGGGTCAACTGCCCTCACTGACTTCTGTGCAGCCTTGAACATCTCGCATAAAGGCCCCCATCACAAGACCTTTCAATGCCATTTGCCAACTGTGATGCAAGCCTGTGAGCTGACAGCAGCTGCCTGTGAATTAGAGAGTGTGGCAGTTGTGAGGGAGCTCTATGTGGACTTCCTCAACCCGGCCAACAGCGTCGACGTGATGTATGACAGCACCTGAAAGTAGCGGGGGTCGCACATCCCACGTCGGTGTTGGCTCCATTGTGGAGGCATACGCTGGACTTCTGATCGACCACGTCGTTTCGTGCAACCTCTGCCTGGTCTATTTTCTTGGCCCAAAGCCTGAGGATGAAGGGAACAGTGCATGGTTTGCAGAGCACAAGCCAGAGTGCAAAAAGAACATTGACTGTAAGTCTGGGCAAATGGAGGAGGCGGTGTTGACAATGTTTAGGAGGTCCTTCGAGAGGCACGGCCTACGGTACACAACGTTTTTTTTTTATGGAGACAGAAGGACCTATCGATGCCTTGACAGAGGATGCAGTGTACGGGTTCGTGGAGATTGAGAAGAAGGACTGCCTCAATCGTGTCCACAAGCGCGTAGGGTCGGCTTTGCACACACTTGTCGACATGAAGAAGGCCCAAGGCAAAGCACTGGAGTGCAAGGGAAGGCTGACTCAAGACAGGATCAAGAGGATAGCCAATTACTATGGTTATGCCCTGCGGAATCACAGCCACGACGTTCCAGCAATGCAGAGGGCAGTGCAGGCCACTTTTCAAAACATGTCAACCACAGATGAGTCTTTCAATCACAGCTTCTGTCCCAAGGGGGCAAACTCTTGGTGCTCCTACAACAGAGCTTCGGTCAACAGTGAGTATGAAATGACCTGCCACCTACTGAGCAGCACGCCTACCTGCTGGTGGTAGACGTCGAGATTAAAGATTCTTATACGTGGCACTCTGGCGTGCGGTAGCATCTCGTTCTTTCTCCGCCAACCTAACATGGTGTCAGAAGTGGGATTACGGCCGGAAATCAAGAACCGCTACCAGCACTGACTTCCGAGGCATTCAAGGAAGCAACCCTGCGCTGGACGAAATGGCAACCACCGCAGCGGGCACATCGTTCGTGATACAGCCACCGGAGCCATTTTCTTTCTCGTCTCCGAACGAATGGCCGAAATGGAAGAAGCGCTTCCAACGCTTCCATACTGCTTCGGGACTCAGCACAAAGCCTGAAGAACACCAAATCGATGCTCTCCTTTACATTATGGGGGACCAAGCCGAGGACATCTTTAGCACATTCCAGCTAACCGAAGCAGAAGCCAAGAAGTTCGATACCATCATGGGCCACTTCGACGCGTATTTCATACCGCGAAGAAACGTCATCTTTGAGCGAGCTCGATTCAACTCCCGGGTCCAACAAGAAGGCGAGTCCATTGAAGAGTTTGCCACGTCACTGCACGCCTTGTCCAAGTACTGCGACTACGGCCCAATGCAAGACCAGTTCGTACGAGATCGGCTAGTCGTTGGCATCCGTGACAAAAAGCTCTCCGCAAAACTCCAGCTTGACGCCGACTTAACACTTCAAAAGGCCCTAGAGTCAGCGAGGCAAGTTGAAAACGTCCGTCAGCAGCAAGTCGAGCTGAATCAAGACATCAAAGCCGGCAGCAGCGTCAACAAGCTTGACACAAGGAGAACTTCAACTAGCCGCTTCTCTGGGTCAAGCTCCAAATCACCAGGCAGACTAGAACACAAAGAGTCTGGTTCGTTCAAGACGAACAGCCAAGAATGTCCTTGGTGTGGACGAGCACGCCATCTCAGAAAGTCCTGTCCAGCTCGACACGAGACTTGTAAGAGTTGCCATAAGAAAGGTCATTTCTCCGGAGTCTGCCTTTCCAAGAAAGTCCGCTTCGTTGGACAATCTTCAGACGAGGATGACGAGGTTGGCTTTACTGGAGGAGTGGCACATCCTCAAGCTGACAAGTGGGAAGTGACGGTGACGCTTCAAGTGGAAACCGTAAAGTTTAAATTGGACACGGGCGCCGACGAAACAGTCATCTCGCCCTCCATCTTCCGGAAGCTCTCCCCACGACCGCGCCTGGTAGCACCCCCTCGTCAGCTTCACGGACCGGACGGAACCCTTTTGGCAACACAGGGGGCAGCTCTCCTCAACATCACGTACAGAGACCGCACTTCGGTGCAAGACGTTTACATCTTGGAAGACCTCCGTACGCCATTACTAGGAAAGCCTGCTATACAAGCTTTGCAATTGGTATCGGTGGTCAACGAGATCAGCCCAAGCTCCAATGTTCTTGACGGATCTAAAGTCGACGCAAGAACAGAGTTCCCTGCGCTCTTCAAGGGGCTCGGCAAGCTCCCTGAAGCGTACCACATGCAACTCCAAGACGGCGCCAAACCGTTCGCACTAAGCTCTCCACGGCGAGTGCCGATCCCGCTCTACGAAAAGACGAAAGCAGAGCTTCAAAGAATGGAGAGGATGGGAGTAATATCACCCGTCGAAGAGCCAACTCCTTGGTGTGCGCCGATGGTAGTTGTTCCAAAGCGAAGCGGTGCAGTGAGAATATGCGTTGATTTCACAGAACTCAATCGCTACGTACTCAGAGAATGGCACCCTATACCGTCCGTCGAACACACCTTAGGACTCCTTCAGAACGCAAAGTACTTCTCAAAACTCGATGCAAACTCCGGTTTTTGGCAAATTCCACTAAGCGGAGACAGCAAGCAGCTCACGACTTTCATTTCGCCGTTTGGACGGTTTTGCTTCAACCGGCTCCCTTTCGGAATTTCTTCAGCTCCGGAGCACTTCCAGAAACAGCTCTCGAGCATCCTGCAGGGAGCAAGTGGTGTCGTATGCCACATGGATGACATTCTCATCTGGGGCTCCACTCCCGCAGAGCATAACACCAGACTCCGCATCGTTTTGCAGCGACTCTGCAACGCAGGTCTGACGCTCAATGAGGAAAAATGCTCCTTCAACGTCCAAGAATTAACATTCCTGGGCCACAAGATCAACGAGCATGGCATCCGTCCAGACGATTCCAAGGTTGAAGCCGTCAAGGCCATGGACCCGCCTACCTCTAAGCCAGAGCTGCAGAGGGTGCTGGGAATGGCAACGTACCTGGCTAGATTTGTTCCGAACCTAGCAACCGTCCTTCAACCACTCAGCTTTATGCTTAGCACTAAGCAAGAGTTTGTTTCGGGATCCGCTCAACAAGACGCGTTTGACAAGTGGAAGGCGATTTTATCGTCACATCCAGTCCTTGGAGCCTACGACCCTAGAAAAGAGACTGTAGTGACGGCCGATGCGTCTTCTTACGGAGTCGGCGCCGT